GACACCCGAACGCCACCCCAGGAGCCCAGGAGAGCAGACAGGAATGCGTTGGCCCTCTGCAGGGCAGCCCCCGGCGCGTCTGCCTTCACCTCCATCTTCGGGCCAGGATCAGAGGCCTCGTGCTCCTGCCTAGTTAGGGGGACATCCACAGGGACCCGTGTTTTCACGCCAACCTCTGGAGGGTGGTGAGGGCGATGGGGGGGGTGTCCGGACTTCATGTCCCTTTTTCTGGAAGCTTCCCTGGCCCCACAGCTCCCTCTAAATGCCCTTAGAGCTCTCTCCGTGAGCCAGGAGGGCAGAGGGCAGGATGAGAGGGTGGGCGCAGGTGGTTCTGTTTTAACCATGCTCCGTTCTCAGAGCAGCCTTGAGAGTCAGCCGTGTCCCACCGTACAGATGAGCAAGCTGAGGGTCAGTGAGGTAAAGAGACACTCATGCTGGGCAGGCCAGTGGACCCTGGGGAGGGGCAGTGCTGCAACCCCGCAGAGACCCCATGGGGTACAGGGAAAGGGGGCCTCCCAAAGTCACAGAGGAACAAGTGGGTGACCAGGACACATGTGGCCTAGAGCAGGGCACCAAGGCTGCCCACTCTGGCCCGGAAGACTCTGGTGTGTGTCTGCCTTCCCAACCCTGCCCCAACTTTGTGCAGCTCGCTGTTTCTCTGCCCCTGTCTGCCCATCTCTCTGGCCTCTTTCCCTCCATCCCTCTCTGTCGCCCTCTCCCGTGTTGCTGTCCACCCCCCCACACACACACCTCTGTTTTGCTCTTTCCTCCCTCTCTCTCTCCCTGTCTCTGACTCAGTTTCTTCTCCCTCCTCTCTCTTGCTTTGTGTGTGTGCATCTGTCTGGGTCCCTCTGTCCGTCTCTCCAACAGTCCCATCCTGCCGTCCCTGCCTGGCTGTGCTCTTGCCCCTTCTGTCCCTCCACGTCCTGCTCAAGGCCCAGGGGGTCTCTCGGTCCCTTTCTCCATCGCGCTCTCTGCTCTGTTCCCACTGCCACGGGCACATCCTTGCTGGGTCTCATGATTTGGCCTCCGTGGTGCGGTGTCTCTGAGGCCCTGCAGGGCTTGGGTCACCAGCCAGCGTGGACCAGGGCACTGCCCGCTGGTCTGCCGTTGGACTGAGAGTGGCTGCTTAGGGTGTTCGGGGCCTCGGGCTGGGCCCCGGACCATCCCCTCCTGGTACCCCGGCTCCCAAGCCACAGCTCACGGCAGCATCCCATAATTAAGACATAAAAATCCGTGATTTCCTCTGTGTGTTGGCAAACACTGGCCGGCTGCTAATGCAATCCTTTCTTTTAATGGATTCTTGAATTTAAATGATATGTAATTAAACATAATTAGCTGGGTCCTCCATTCGCTAGGTGCCGCGCGCCGAGTGAGGCTGGCGAGCAGCTCGGTGCAGAGCGGCCTCCTTCACGGGCAGATCTCTTGCTCCCTCCCGGGGCTGAGCTCACGGCACTGAACGGTGCCTGGCCCAGGGGCCCGGGGCAGGGGTCTGAGGAGGGGAGCCCCGGGTCAGCCACCCAGGGACTCGGACGATGAGCCTGGTGGGGTTTGCTGGGAGAAGTTTGGTTCCTTTGAGCCATCACGCTGACCTCACTGTTTGGGGTAAAAGCTGGGAATGCCGTGGGAGCTGGGGGTAGGCCCCGGAGCAGGGGCTGGGGGGGGCTCCACACCTGCACAGGCGCGACCCGAAGCCCGCCTGGCTGTCCCCCCGGCTCAACAGCCCCCTCCTAGGCGAAGGGCAGGGGCGCCCCCACCTCGCTGGCGAGTGGGGCTTTGGAGCAACCCCCGGGCCCCAGGGATAGCTGGGGGAGCCCCAAAGGGCACCTGCAAGATGGCGCAAGACTCAAGCCCCCGTGCACAGGCCGAGCGAGAGGGGAGACCAGGGGGCCGGCAGTAGGGGAGCAGTGACGCCTGGGCAGGTGCCTGGCCTCCCACCAGCCCCTCCCTGCGGGCGCCTGGAGCTGTGTTCTCAGGTACGGGGACTGCCGGGACTCCGGGCCATCGGGTTGTCCCCCGGGGTCCTGGTCCCAGCCTGCCCACCCTATGACTCCAGTGCCCATGGTTCCACACACAGGCCCCCTCTTTGACTTCCCTGGACCCCATATACTGAGGTGTGTCCCCCCACCAGCCTGTGTGCCCAAGGCAGGGCCCAAGGCCAGGCCGCCACTCCCTCTCCCTGCCAGCCCAGCCCCGCACACAGCGCGCTCCCCTGCTCCCCTGCGGCATCCAGGTGCTCAGTGATTGAGGGAAAGGTACCGGCCCCCGCCCCTGCTCCTCGCCAGAGCCTGCGCGTGCGTCCTCTTACTACCTTTGGTGAGAGTCAGGGACACCTAGGCGGCAGGTCACGTGGTGAGTAGAGAGCTACGCTCAGCACCAAGGCACAGGTGGAGACACCGAGGCCGACAGTTCGCCTGGATTGGGTTTGCTGCCCGTTCCGGTACTCGGTCTCCGGCTCTCTTAGAGGGCCCCTCCCACCCACGTGCGCGGCCCCCTTGCTGAGCCCTGCGGTCAGAGCTGTCCTGAGGAGAATCCCCCCCTCCGGGGCGGGGCCGAGTGATGGGGGCGGGGCCGAGTGATGGGGGCGGGGCGGCCCGTACGGGGGAGGAGCAGCCGCACACTCCCGAGCCCGGCGCGGCGCCCAGCAGAGGCTCTGCCCACCAGGAGGGCCCGAGTGGGGAGCGCAGGCTTTCCAGGGAGGAAGGACGTCCTGCGGGAAGGGCTGTCTGCGGAAGCCCTGGGCAGTCGGCAGGCATGAGCGCCGTCCCGGGTGGACGAAAACGCAGAGGCCGGTGGGTGGCAGGGGGCCCGAACCAGAGGTCTGCAAGGCTGTGTGGTAGAGGCGCGGGCGTAGCTGGCCGAGGCTTTGTGAGCCGAACGTTGCATATTCTTTTTACAGCAGCTTGAGGGTTGTACAAAGCAGGCTGCAGGCAGAATTTGGCCTGGGGGCCACAGAGACTGGCCAAGGTGACAGGACATAGATACCTTGTGCTTGTCAATCATGTGTGACTTCATCACGTGCCCTATGTGTAGATGCATAGAGAGCACCTAAAAACAAACAGCGTGATGCGTTTTCCCCTGTGTGCCCCACCCCTGTAACTGCCACCCAGGTGAAGATCTAGAACGTTGCCAGCACCCCCGATCCTGTTCCCCCGAGAAGTAACCGTCTTCTGGCCCCTGCACCACAGGGACTGGTTGTGCCCGCTCCTGAACTTGGCGTAAATGGGTCCTCCAGCTGGGGTTCCTTGAGCCTGGCTCCTGCGGCCTGTCGTAAGGTTGGCGGGACCCCCATGCAGCAGCGCAGACGGTCATTTCCTGAGAGTAGGACCATCGCCGTGTTCTACCGCGTGCGCTCGCCACCATGTTTCTCCAGCCCCTGCTGACGGACACTTGTGCAGTTTCCCCCTTTGTGCTCTTACCATAAAGCTGCGTGGAATGTTCTAGTACACGTGTTTTGGTGAACAAATCGACGCATTTTTGTCATGTGTGTATCTGGGAGTGAAATGGATGGGTCCGAAGTAGGTGCTGGCACACAGTTTGGTGAACTAAAAGGCCACGCCACATACAACCTTTCGACAGCGACAGGTATGTATTTCAGCGCTGCTGGGGATGATGGATCTTAAGTTCCCGCCATCGCCAGCTGTGTCTGTGATGGCAAGAGTGAAATGATCCCGTAGAACCCTGCACGGACGTGAGAGTTGTTCTTGCTCAAGTTGCAGACCCAGTGGTGGCGGTGAGGGTCCCCATGCACTCAGCACCTGTGTTGTCTCCAGGGCTCCTGGTTTGGGGCCTCAGTCGTCAGGGTTGTGTGCACTGCCCTCTCCACTCCCAGGGCTGCCCCTGGGGCCCCAGCCGCCCCTGGGGAGGTGGCCTCCAGGCCACCAGGCTGACTCTTTTAAAAGGTGGTTCCCTTGCCCTGAAAGGACAGCCACTGTAGGGTAAAGAGCTTTGTGAAAAACAAACCCTTCAAAAGGGACAACTTGGCTTTTAGGATGTTATCAGAGCCAGTGTCAACCACTTCCTTCCAAACCAGGGTGGGGGCTTCCGAGGTGGTGGCCTGGCTGCTGGGAAGCCATGATTTCCTGCTTTCCCAGGGAGCTGGGGTCAGACCATGGGGTGATCTGAGTAGCAGGTCCTCAGTGGTGTGAGGTTGCACGGGGGTACCTCCGCCCCACGAACTCCAGCTCATGAGCAGTGCGGGAGGGTCTTCAGGTCACCAGGACCTGAGTCTTAGCTCACAGCGCCAGGCTGCACGCAGCCCAAGGGACGAGGTCCCAGCCCTTCCCCCAAGTGTTAGAGACTTTTGGGATGTCCCTAGGAGCCCACCCCCGGTTGCTCCTGTGGCCAGGGCTCCAGCCCTCTTACAGTTCCCCACCCACATGCCCACTGGGACCCCTGCTCTACCTCAGGACTCAGTCCACAGTCTCTCCTCCAGGAGCCCCCACATTGGTGTCCCTGGGGTGCCACCTGGGCCCACAGGCATTTGCATCAATGGCGTGGTCTCACTTCTCTTGTGCCTATCCTCCAGGCAGATTTCAGGACATATCTGGGGCTTTGCACAGTTCTAGCCCCCCAAATCCCACCCAGCCAGAGAGCTGCTTTGCCAGGAGCACCGCCCCCCTGTGGTGTGGGAGTGACCTCAGAGGACAGGGACTGTTTGGCATGTGTACCCCTGGGGTTTGGACGGGGAGGCACTCAGAGCAGGGTCAAGCTCACGGCCCTGCTGTTAGGAGTAGGCCATTTCTGCTGGTGGTGGGGATGGAGCAGGGCCATTGGCCACTCTGAGCAGGCTTCAGATGGAAGGGGTTTGGAGAGGTGACCCGGTGGAGAAAACAGGAGGGGGGTGTGTGCACCCTGATGGGTGGTGGCTGAGACAGGAAGTGGGAGGAGGGGGACATCCGGTAACCAGGTGCGGAAGGACCCGGAGGCCTCTTGAGGGCCCGTGCTAGACGTGGGGAGAAAGAGGCTCCGGAGGGGTCACCTGCGGTCCTGCTCTCCAGGCCCAGTGATGAGCGGCATCCGGACGTGAAGGCTGATGGATACGTGGACAACCTGGCAGAGGCCGTGGACCTGCTTCTGCAGCACGCGGACAACTGACGAGCCTCGTAGGGCGGGCCCCCTGGCGCCACCCCTCCCCTGGGCCCAGGCCCCAGGGTGCAGGCCAGGCTTGCTTCCCCCAACCTCCCATGGAGCTGTTCCTCCGGAGATGGCCTGCTGCCCCCCAACCCCCCACCCGGTGAAGTCAGACAGTGGGACAGACCCGTCTGGGCATCTCCAAACAAGGAGAACCCTTGTCTCTGGGAACGCTCTCTAGCCGCACCCAGTCCTATGAGTGTCCCAGCTGACTGGCCTGAGGGACCTTGACTCCCTGGCCCTCTGTCATACGTTCTGTGCATTTGACAGAGGGGCCTGGAGAAGGCGGGGGCTTCCTGCACTTTCCATGCAGCCTGGGGCTGAAGCAGCCTCCCTGGGATGGCCCAGCATCCCCCGCTGGCCTCCTTGCCCCTACCCAGAGTCCGAGTGGCCCCTTGGCACCCCTTCCCCCTCCTACCCCAAAAGGCACCTTGGAGCCCAAGGCTGGGGCAGCTCCGCGGGAACCCTGAAGACTGCCGTCCTACAATCAAGAACTGTAACCTCGTGGGTCAAGGCTGTGGGCCCAGAGGGTGGTCCAGGGCCCTAACTCGGTAGACGTGAATGTGTCTTGCCCAGCGTCTGCCGGGGCAGCTACTGGTTAAATAAATAAACTGTCCTGATTCAACTCGGTCTCTGACTCAGTTTGACACGCGGGGGGCCCGAGGCGGGGTGGGGGGTGCCCGGCCCTGGCCTGGTGCTGCCGCATGCTTCAGCCTGAGCAGCAGAGGCCCAGGGCCCCAGACACCCGCGCCGCCCCATCACCTCCAGGAGGACGGAGGCCCAGAAGGGACAGCAGGCGGCCCCACGGGGGACAAGCAGAGCAGGGCGCGTGTTGGCCAGCTCTCACGGGCCGTCCTGCGGAGGGTGGTGGTGAGCCACAGGCTTCCAGAATTCACTCAGAGCCGGGTTTCAGGTTTCAGAATCAGTCAGCTGAACAGAGCACTTGCTGGCGTTTCTCCTCAAATCAATCCAGAAGTCCCTGATGAGTCTTGGGCAACGACCACACGTGAAAGAAGTCGTGGGTCCGTAACAGGGTTTCCACTCTGTGGAGGCAGGAGATGAAAGGCTGGACCCCGAGCTCTGAGTCGCCCTGGCACGGGAGCCGAAGGCCCGCGGGGGCTGTGCTGTCCCCAGGCCGGCTGGCCACCCTTAAATCAGGATTAAGAGGAACCAGTGGCCAAGTCTTTTCATCAAGAAGGGAGGCCACCGGCGGGGCTGGTGTCCGTGGTGGCGAGGGAGGAGGGGCGTGGGGCCTATTAGCTGGGAAGTATGCAAATCGCCTGCTCCTGGACGAGTCCGCTAATTACAGCTTGTTGGGGGACCGGCGGGCCCGCGGTAGGCGAAGCGCACCAGGGCTTGGAGGGCAGCGTCAAGGAGACGGGCTTGCCACGTTCCGGCCAGTTTGTCTTGCAGGTCCTTGGTTTTCTTCTTTCACGGGGTGCCCTCGCCTGCTGTCCTGGCTGGGGCTTGTGGCCAGGGCAGTGTCCCCTCTGGAGGCAGGATCTGCTGTTCTCGGTCCATGGGCCGGCTGCTGCCCAGGAGGGGGACGGGGAGGGTGTCCGAGGGACAGCTCGGGGTGGGGGGGGGGCAGACGTCTGCTGTGTCTGGCCGGAAAATGTGCCACCCCAGCTTCAGTGAAGGGGACATCCACACTCTCCCCATTTTACAGAGAACGAACTGGCGGTGTGGACAGAGGACCAGCCCATGGGCTGGCAAGGGCAGAGCGGAGACTCAGACCTGAGTCTGACCCCAGAGTCTGACCCCAAGTCCTGTCCTTTCTAGTTCCTCCTACAGTCCTTCCGTGGGGGTGGCCAGGTGGCTGTGACTTTCTTGGTAAGCCTGCACACTGGTATCCTCCAGTGTGGGGGAGAACATTTCTGGAGACGAAATGTTCTTCAGGACCAAGGTCCACTCAGCCCTAGCACGGGGGTCACCATCCACAAGCCTCAACTGCCATAACTGTGAAAGGGGGGGATCCTTCCTGAACAGACACGCTCAGAGCCCTGTTGGGGGGCAGGCCACACCAGGATGCCCTGTCACCTGCTGCGGATGACGACCCTTGTCCCGCGGCCCAGAAGGGAGAAGGGCGTCCCTCGCCCTGGGGTCCTTCCAGCCACCCACGGTCCACCCGCCGCAGACCCTCCTTCCCAGCAGGCGGGCGCGGATCCCAAGCCACAGACGCACGTCACAAAGCTGCTGCTGTGGGTGGGGCTGGAGTTCAGGGCCACCAGTGGCTTAAGTACCTGTCTGCGGTCAGGAGAGGCTCCAGACCTGCCACTAAGAAACGGACCCTCTGAGCCCAGGGAACAGGCCAGGCTGGCTCCGTGGGCCCTCCCGGCAGAGCCCTGGGGTGAGGCAGGGGCCTGAGTCTGGCCACACTGCCCAGCAGGACATCCTCAGGCTCTGGGGGCCACGAGCCCAGCCATATCTTGGAGGAGGAGGGGTGGATGGTGCAGAGGGGAGGACAGTCTTGCAGGGTCACCTCCTTGGGGGCACAAGGGCTTCACCTACCCGCCAGACCTTCCAGTGTAAGCAACGGTGGGCTACCGGCCCGGGACCCTGTGCAAACCGATTCCGCCCGGGTGAGTCACGCAGCAAGAGTGTTTAGGTCTCACCTCCTGTCCAAGTCGAGGACTGGCTGGATCCAGATCCCAAGGCATTCCCAGGCAACCCTGAGGCAGGGCCATAGCAGCCCCTCCCAAATTCCCCCAAGAAAGAAAGGAGGCAGCACGGCGCTGGGAGGACAGGAGAACGTGACCGGAGGCTGAGAGCGTGGTGGGGAGTCTGAGCCTCAGTACCAAGCCCGCCCGCCCGCCACGGGGCCCCGGGCCGCTTCGGTGCTCCCCTCCTCCTCCAGACTGGGGGGAATAAGGCCCCTCCGAAGGCCTGGGCCTTCCTGGGGGCCAACCCTGCCCCTCTCAGGTGGAAAGTGGTACAGAGGAGGGGACGCAGGGCAGGACACACGTGCCTGCCTCCTGGGGCTCATGGTGCCCCCTCCCACGTTGGTGTGATTATCCCGAGGGCCTCTCCCTTTCTCTCATTTCCCATTCAGAGAGTGAACATATTGGTATAAAAAGAAACCGAAAGTCAGAGTCTGCCCTCCGTGACTGTCCGGGGCGATTCCTTCCAGCCCCCCTCCCAGCCTTCTTTAACACACTGCGGCTTGTCCGAGTCTGCCGTGGTGCCGGGGTCTGGGGCACAGACTCTTGTGTAAGCCCCGCAGGTGTTTCAGCCTGCGCACACCTGGAGCCGCGCACACCTGGAGTCAGTCGGCGCGCAGCCTGACATCGGACGCAGGTGCCAGCCCGCCCGGCGCCGGGGGCCACAGACCCGTGACCCGACCTGAGCCCCGCGCTGGTGCCCAGGGCAGAGTCCGGCTTTCAGGCAGATCTGGAGGCACAGGAGCTCGGGCCGTGTCCTTCCCCTGGCACTGGGGGAGATGCAGGGTGGCCGTGGCTGGGCAGGCTGAGCGGAGAGCAGATGCCCCTAAGTGAGGCTAGTTGGAGGCTGGGGCCCAGCCAGGGACCTCAGCTGAGGAGGGCTGGAGGTCTGTCTAGGGCCACCCGGGCGGGGAACAGGAGGCAGAGTCCCTGGGTCCCTGGGCCTTGGCCCTGCAGGGATGTCTAGGGAGAGGGGGAGGGGCTCCCCACCCCCCAAGCTTCTACCACAGCAGCCGTGTTTCACCTGGGTCATGAACTCGGTGTTTTTTTTTTTTTTTTTTTTTAAAGATTTTGTTTATTTATTTGACAGAGAGAGAGAGATCACAAGTAGGCAGAGAGGCAGAGAGAGAGAGGAAGGGAAGCAGACTCCCCGCCTACAAACTCGGTGTTCTTACACCATCCTGGAATGGGGGCGGCTGCGAGAAGGAAAACCGGCCACAGGAAGAGTCCAGAGTGCTCTGGTGTCTCACAGCCACAGGGACGTCCTCGGGACCTGGTGGGTGTTCTAGGCAAAAACTCTGTGGTTCGATTTCATGGGCAAACGCTGGGTTACAGCAATGTAAACGAGCCTTTGAAGCCGGACCTCAGCCTCCCGAGCGTGGCTAGCCGAGTGTCCGTGGTCTGGAGGGCCAGGCACGCGGACTGTGCGCCCCGGAGCCCACCCTGGGTCAGGCTGGGAGCGCCGGCCCCCCCACCGGCGGGAGCGGTGCAGGTCTGAGCCCTGCTGCCCGCGTGGGGAACGGCCCGCCCGCACCACGTCCTCGCCTAGCCCGTGGCGGGAGGGGGCAGGCTGCGGGGCCGGGCCTTCCCCAGCAGCAGCAGCAGCAGCAGCAGCAGCAGCAGCAGCAGCACGACCTGGGGCGCACGGCCCTGTGGTGGGCCCAGCTGGGGAAGGCGGACTCCTCTCCCGCGCCGGACTCCGGAATCACACGGAGCCGGTGTCTCTGCTCTGCCGTCCTGGGGTCTCTGGCTCCCGGATGGACAGAGAGGCTGGGCCCCTCCACCTCCAAACACGCACCCATGTACACACACGCCGTTGCCCTGGGGACCGGGCAGCTCGGACGGTGCCTCTAGAGGGCTCCCTCATGCCCACAGCTGTGGCCACACACAGTGGCTCGCTCCCCTTCCCGCATCAGCCTCTGGAGAGCTGATGTTCGCCCCATCTCACCACCCTGACCCCGAGGCCCGGAGGGGAGAGAAGGGCCCGGCCTCGGCCCCTGCCAACCCAGAGCCACTGCTCCCGTGGACAGAGCGGGGAGCCACCAATCCACCACAGCCAACAAACCACGCAGCAGGCTCCCGGAGGCTGGATACTGAACCAGGAAGCTTTATTTACACAGTAAGAGTAACAAGCAAATTCCTGAGAGACTAGAGCGGCTCTAGTGCAAGACAGTCGTGGCCCGTGTGGGAGGACAGGCAGCCGTGGGCGGGGTAGGGGGGTGCAGGCCCAGTGCCTTCTGCACACATGTGGCCCGGCCACCGGCAGGCTGGCCCAATGCCACTCGCTTCGGCTGCCTCACTATTGGGGGGTTCAGCAGCCCCTCGGGCGGACGCCTCGGGAAAGCACGCTACAGCCCCCGCAGCAGCCCCTGGGACATCTCCTCCACGCACTGAAAACACAACTTATTTGCCAAAGAGACTATGCTAGAACAGACTATCCTACCTAGGCTACGAGATCTCTGCTGTGGTCTGGGGGGGGTGGTTTGCATTATCTTTTCTCCTTAAAGATTAGGCAATGTCTTCTCTGACTGGAGCCAACGGGAAAGGTTTGACCAGCTGTGCGGCTGTGGCAAGATGCGGCGTCACTACCTGTACGGGGCGGGGCGGGGGGCGGAGTGCCTGGGCCACGACAGCCACGGCCCAGCTGGCCACGGAGTGCGCGGGACTTGAACCTCACGGGCAGATGTGGAGGTGCAGGCTGGGCCCACGGCAGAGCGTCCAGGGCTCTGTGTTAAATACCACGGAAGCTCCCTGAGACCCGCAGTGGCCCGAACCCGCCGCCCAGGGAAGCCTCAGCTGGAGCAGGGAGCTTGCGCGCCGCCCTGTGCACCAATTTGAACATTGGGATTTTCTTTTCAACGTGGACTTTTCCTTTATTTAAATTTTCTTTCCGCGTACAAATTCACAAAACTTTCCTGCTACAAACATTTTGATGACGAGTAAGGCTTTCTGAGAATGAAAATCTACGGATGATCGGCACAAGCGCCCCCGTGACCTGGACGTCGTGTCTGCCCGCGGGCCCCGCGCCAGCCCCGGCCTCCACCGCGAGTAAGGCAAGAGGGTTTGTGGTAAACGGTTAAGGCCACGGACCCCGGCCCGGCCCAGGCCCTGCGGGCAGGCAGCGGCTCTTGTCAGTCCTACGGCCGTAGCAGATGCTCCTTCTGGAGCAGGTAGGGACACACGCAACAGGGAGCCTCTCCTCCCCACCCCGCTCTCTGGGAGCCACAACCCTGCGTTTGTCCTTCAGGGTCCCCGGGCAGGCAGGCGGCTAGTTCAGGCCTCCCTTCCAGCTCGGAACTCCCTGGGTCTCCTTCAGAGGCAGGAGCTCACAGGCATCCCCTAGGAGAGGCAGGGCCTAGACGCCAACGGGGCTCCTCATGGCGAGCCTGCCAGCCCGCCCACGGCCCCGCGGGGACAGGCACAGGCAGCCAGAGGGAGCCCCTGGGCGAGCCTCCCTCCAAGAGCCTCCAGACCAGAAGTCCCGGCCTCAGCAGGGCCGAGCGGGACATGCCTGCCTGGACGGCGGGGCGGCACCTTCTGCACGGGGTGGGCGCTCTAGTCAAAGGGGAACGTGAGATGACCGGAGGGCATTTCTTTCTCGGAGCAGAAGGGACAGTGGCCGCTCTCCCCCCCGCTGCTGCTGTGGGCTTGCGCTAGGAGCTTTGGCGGGAGTGAGGACAGCAAAGTGGGGCCTGAGGAGGCTGGAGGGCCAAACCCTGCCTGGGGCTGGGGTAACTTTCGCCTGAAAGTGCCGCAGGACTGGGTTTGAGGGTCGATGGGACCAGCTTGGGCGGAGGTGGGAAGGTTTGGCCTTCCTTGCCACAAGGCCTGAGAACGGGGAAGCAGCTGGTGGGTGGGGTATGCAGGCAGGTCGCCCACCCCACGGCGCTGTGCCACACACCCACCACCTCAGGTGCCTGCCCAGCTGACCCTGAGGAAAGGCAGCCGGGGGGGTTACCACCCAGGCCCATCTGGTTCACCTCGGTCCCTCACTGTGCTGTGGACCAAGAGATGGGGCCCCACCTCTCCTTCCACAGGAAGGAGCTTTGAGAGGACATACTCCCTCAGTGGCCCCTCTTGGTGTGGGCTGGGTGCCAGTACTGGGTGCCAAGGTTTCTGAGGGCAGGAGTCACCAGCGTGTGCTCTCCCAATTCGTAACTCAACGACCCCAGCCCCCGCTGGCTTTGCTCTAAGAAGACGTGGCCTCCATGACCCACTACGTGGGGACAAGGCAAGATGGCAGGCCCACCCAGAGCCACCGGCTCCCTGCTTTGGCTCTTCGGGGTCCTGAGGGGACGTGCCTTTGGTGGGAGCCACTGTCCCGGCCCCAGGACCTTCCCTGTGTCCACACAACCATGATGCTATCTGACCTGAGGCTTTGAACACAATCTGGGAGGGCCACTGAATTGAGATCTTCTCTACAAGCATCTTATGGCTGATTTTTAAGAACCACCACCCTAGAAATTAGAACTTGAGCACCACGCTTTTCATCGAGGCAAACAGCGAAGCTCTAAGTACAGTTTCCCAAACAGGGTCTTTCTTTTGGGGAAAGAGAGTGAGAACGTTCATACTCACTCTGTGCACATGAGGCCTTCGCTGTCCACAGAAGATGAGCAAAAGTAAGGAGACTACGAATGTGCCTTTGTTACGTGTCAGCAAACTCAAGAGAATACACCGGTTATTTTTAGCCGTAGTGGGGAAGGAGCCACTTGCTCATAAGCCGACAAAATTGCTATTGTCTGAGGAAGATGCCAAGTTTGCTACAAGCCAAAGTCCAAGAGAGCAGAGCCCATGTGGTGTGTCTGCCAGCCGGGCTTCCTGAGAGCGAAACCTCAGGGGGTCGGGGTTGGGCGGGGCTCCCCTGCAGCAGGGCATCCGCAGGGGTGCCTGGAGCTGGGGACCGCACATGCTCCCTGCGCTCCGTGCCTGCAGTAGGGACGCCACGCGGAGGCGCTCTGCTCCCCCGGCTGAGCAGCAGGGGCGCTCGTCAGGGGCGGTGGGGGGGTGCACTGGGATGAAGGCCAGCATCCCACCGACCAGCGCCAGTGTGCTTAGAATACGGCAGGCGGCCTTGCGGGTCCCCGGTCCAGGTCCCCAGAGCAGCCCACAAGCCGCCTCCACCCCTGAAATGTGCACAGGGCCTGGGTGCACGGACCTGCTCACAGCTCCTGCCTCCCGAGGACGTTTTCAAGAGGTTGCCCGTTACTAGTGACCTCTCTCCACTCACCTGAATCAAGCTGATCCCTCAGGGACAGGTTGGCCACAGAGAATGGCTGCCACATGCCAGCCCTGCCCAAGCGGCTCCGGGAGCGGCAGAGAGCCACGGGGTCAGGCTCTCCACGCCACGGGAGAGGCAAGGAGTTGTCTTTTCGCCAACAGACCCACCCACGTCTACCCAACGCAGACGCCTCCGACAAGCAGCCCGAGCTGTTCCCCAGGCCCCCAGAGTTCCGACATGGAGAGCCCCCCGCACCCCGGCACCCCAGGGCCTCTGTCTCCCACACTTCGAATTAAGGCCAAATGGTTCTGATGTTACTACAGAGGAAAGCGTCTCCCGAACCTTCCCAAGCCTGAAGCAGGGAGACCTGGGAGAGAAGGCACGGAATACAACAGAGTGAAGGAAGCTGTGGGGCCGACCCCCCGGAAATGAACCTGAGCAGGAGGCCGGGAAGGGCCCGACCCCGCCGGACGGCCCTGAGCACGCGCCGCCCCCACCAGCCCCACAGAGCACAGAGAAGCAGACCCTGCGGGACCCGGCAGGGCAGCCGGCGAGAAACAGGGGGAAGGGGCCCAGCCCAGGAAGCTGCTCTCGGGCTCCGGCGGCCCCATGGATGGCCGTGGCCGCTGTGCCGGTGAGGCGCGGGGGCGGGCAGCCGTGCGGCGTGGCCGGGCCTGCGGGGGGCTCCCCGCCTCAAGTGCCCGCCGCCCCTCAGTTGTTCTCTATCTGTTCGATGTCCAACTCGCCGTCCAGGGAGCAGGGGCTGTTCCCGGCTGCCCCGCGGTCCCGCCAGGCCGAGGCCGGCCCCCAACTCCTGGCACAGCCGTCGCTCAGGCCAGAGCCGCCCGACTCCTCACAGCACTGCTCCTCCTTGCAGGCCAGCTGGTCGTCGAAGGCCGGGGGCAGAGGCTCGGGGACCGGGGTCCCGGCGGGGGTCCTGCCCCCCAGGCTGGAGGCTGAGGCCGAGAGCAAGGCGGTCCAGGACCTGGTGCTGCTGACGTGCAGGGCAAAGGGGCTGTGCGGGCCGCAGTCCTCCATCCCCGCACTCAGGCAGCTGAGGCTGCTGAAGGTCTGACAGTTCTGTGGGGAGACAGACACACGGGTCAGCCGGGGTCCCGCGCCCATCCCAAACCCAAGGGCTGTGCGGCCCAGACGGCCGACCGCAGCCCCTGGGGCGACCTGGTGATGGGTCCGCTGGGCGGTGGAGGCCCACCAGAGCCCGGCCTCCTCCAACATCCGGGCAAGAGGAGGGGCCGTCGGCAAGTGGGCATGAGGAAATGTGCCCCGGCCAGTGAACACCGGGATGACACACACAAAATCCAGTTCCCCACAAATGAAGGAAAGGGCCCGAGCTTGATACCACCCAGGCGAAGGGAAGCTGCGGCGAGAAGGCCGGGCTCTGAACCCCGAGCAGACTGCCCTTGCCCAGGGTGAGCTGGCAGAAACGCAGCGCCTCCCTTCCGCCAGCCGTTCCAGCAGGCCCTCGCTGGCGGATGCCGCAGCTCTGCGGGCCGGGTCGCTGGGCTCGCCCGCCGGGGGCCTCAAGCAGACCCCTCAGCCTCCCTGGCCCCGGCTGCCTCACCTGTTAAGAGGTAAACAATGGTCCCTACCTGTTCTGTAGGGCTCTTTGAGGGCCCAGCGGGAAACGGAGGCTGCCTACCAAGTGTTGCCTGTGCAGCCTCCCCAAGGCCAGCCTGGGGAGGGAGGCAGCCCGGGGGCTCCCTGAGTGGCAGGTGCAGCTGCAACAGGACCCAAGGATGCTTGGGGACACCTGTTCTCAAGAGGGGGCAGGCCCAGTCCTGTGCACAAGTGGGTGAGGTTAAACGCCTGCTTTCACCACAGAGCACGATTCGGGACAAAGGGTTATGACGCCTGGGGGTGCCCACAGCCTCGCTCTGGGGACTCCCCAAAGGACCAGCAGCCATATAGTCTCCTCTCAAAGAGGACCCAAGGAGAGATGAGCTAGAGGGCAGAGGAGAGGCCTTTGGAGTGTGAGGTGGGGACCAGGAGCACCGAGATCACGGGCACATCCCAAGGGCACCAGTTCTTTCACAGGCTGCGGTGTTCACACATACTCTGCAGTAGGGACGACCACCGGCTGTCACGGCCAACGAGCGGCTGAAACAGGCTCAGCCAACGGAGAAGAAAAGCCGCCCTCTCTGGAGGAAGGTGGCTGTGCCTGTCGTGGGCATGCTCATTGTTCCGGAATGCTCCGGAGCAAACTGGTCTCATGGGTTTGCTTTCCTTGGAATCTTTTGATTAACCAAGAAAGGTGAAGCCCAGAGGGCGGCGGGGGGGCGGGGGTGCGATGTGTGCTGGGGGACTCTGGGAGAGAGCGCTGGGATCGAAGAGAGAAGGGCCGGGCCACCGATGAGAGCTGTGAGGCCGGCCCAGGCCTGGTGGAAGCCCAGGTCACGGTCCCCACAGACTGGGGGCCCTCCCATCCCCTGGCCTGGGGTGCCATGGGGTTCAGCAAGGCCTCTGTCCACCCGGTGCACATTCTGTTCCCCACCACTGCAGAGAGCTGGGGACGGCTCCCAGACTAGAACGTGACCTGACTCTTGGCAGGTGGAGGCCCCAGACACCCGCGATGGGAGGGTCTCGGGGGCCCCTTCTGCCTCCCAGCCACTCTCTTCTCCTGCCTAGACCTGAGCCACGACAGAAGGAAGTGGGCGGATGGCCTTGCCTGGACAGGGTTGTCAAGCTCCACCTCAGCCTGTGTCCCCGGATGCTCTGCACACAGGAACTGCAGGAGCGAGGTGGGGTGGGTCTGGAGCCCAGGTGCCCAAGGAGCCCGACCCGGCCCTCCTGGCCAGGCTGCGCAGTCCGCCTCTTTGCCCCAGAGGAGCTGTGTTGTGTGAGGACATGCCGTGAGTGGCGAGTGACACCTGTTACAGAGTAATGATGTCTGATGTGAGCCGGATGTGCTACGAAGGGGGTCACAGGCAGTGGCCCCGGGGATCACCCACGGCCGTTCACCCCGGCGGGCCGGACACCTGCTGGGAGCCCCAACGTGGCAACAGTGGGAAGGCTGGCGTAAACCTGAACAGGAAACGCTCCCGAGTCTGTGTTCACCCTCCCCGGCTGCTCGGACTGCCCCACCCACAGATCCTGGGGTGGGGGGCGAGCAGGGTAAAGGTGCAAGTGGAGAGGGTGGAGGACTCTGCGTCTGGCTTTATGGCAAATGTGACAGTCTGTGTCTGCACACTAATCAGGTTACACATTAGCCACACCAGCAGCAGGGTGCTGGGGACCCCAGTCTGCTGGGACCTTCCTGTCTTTGCCTAACGTAGTCCCTGGAGAGAGCTGAGGAGGGACAGGCTATCACAGACCTGGGCTCTGCCACCAATGAGTACCAAGGTTTCACACAAGACCCTCCAAGCTAAGAACCTCGGCCCACCCGGCAGATAAGGGGTGGCCCAGGGCCCCTGGGGCCACCCTGCGGCAGCTGGCTGGGATAACGGGGTCCTTTCTGCTTTGCAAGAGGGCAACAATCTGCCAGGTGTGGTTGGCGAATGTTGTCACAAGCATACCCCAAGGTGTCACCGAACCCCACCCCCCAGAAGTCCTCAAAGGCACCTGCTGCTTGACTGCAAAGCCAATGTCACCTTGAAAACTTTGTTGACACAAAACTCAGCCATTTCAGCCACAGTCTCGGAAAAAACAAGACCAGCCCGCTGAATGCCCCAGCTGGAGGCAAGCCCCACCTGCCAGGGTGGAATGTGACTGACACAACGCGGCAGTGTGCGTCCTGCTCAGACTCCAGCCCCGGTGAGCCTACCCCGTGCCGACACCCAGGGCCCAGGGCTATTTGGTGCCCACCACACCCTGGGGGCAGGGTCCTGCCCAGCCTCTCCTGGCAGCTCACACTCCCCAGAAGCCCGGCTCCCACAGAAGAACGCTGCCCGGGCCTGTTGGAGGCCCGGAGGCCTGCGTGCCCTCAAAAATGTCTGGGGAAAGCTGCTAACAAGTTCAAAGCGCCACATGAACACATCGTTCCATGGTGGAATGGTTGCTCCGGGACAAACAGTCCCCCACCCCAAATTCTGCTCTCCTGAGGCCCAACCCTGGCCCAGGGATTGGCCACCCACTTGGGCATAGGCCTGCTCAGGTAACCAAGATCAGAAGCAGCCATCGCCGTGGCCTCAGGCTAGTGGCTGGAAACACTGCTCAGCACCCCAGTCCTAGAGTCTGGGGCAACTTCCAAAAGGAGCCCCAAATGTCAAGATCTTCCCATCAGACCCGCCAGACCTCAGCTCCAGCCACATTCCAGCCCGCCCCAACCGTCCTCCGGGGTCTCACAGCCAGGAGCAATGGGCCCCTCTTCCGCAGTCCTACATCCTCCTGGGTGGGAGGCCTTGGCCCGGCCCTGGGGACAGAGACCAAGGTCCTCACCTTCCGCGGTGCAGCCCCAGTGAAAGTCTGTGTGGTCCTCCTTGCAGAGAGAGGCCCACCAGATCCTGGGCTGCAACAGCGCCTCATCTGCCAGGCCCAGTTCCCTTCTCTACACCCAGTCCCTCCTCCGCCTCCCAACCACCCACACTGTGGCGGGTCCAGGAAGGTCACAGTCCCTCCAGATGGACTGGTTTCCTGCCCCCAGGAAACCCATGTTACCTCAACTCACACTCATCCCCATCCTGCTACACGTACCAACTTGGGCCCCAAGCTCACGTCCCTCCTCTAGTGTCACTGCTTTAATGCTAGCCTAGAGGGGCACAAGGGAGGGAATCCAGAATCGTCTACAAGCTGAACTGCTCCACAGGCTTTACCAAAGACCCAGAGCATTAAGTCTGGTGGGTGGGGAAATAACAGACTTCTGAGAAGAGTTCCAGGACGCCAGAGGGTGGAGGAAGGGGTGGGGGAATCCCACGCAAGGACAAGGGCAAACGTGGGCTTCTGGAGTGCCAGGTCCCCTTTCTCAGGACTGTCCTACCCTAAAGAGGGCAAGCTGTTCTCATTCCCGTCTCCCTGGCCACCCCAAAATGCCCTGAACCCCCCTAGGCCCTGAACCTAGCATGGGCGGTGGACCAGTTGGGATGAAGCTTCTGGAGTTGGAGGAAGTGGACCCAAGTCTGGCTCCCCCACTGCTGACTTTCCAGAACAGCAATGCGGGTCCTGGCCAGAGGCCAGCTGCAGGAGCACGGCCCGCTGTTTGCTGGGACCCCTCTCCTGGGCTGTTCTGTGTCCTGGGCATAGTGTCCCCACAGAGCGCGCCTTAGAGCCTTACAGCTAGCACTGAACTAGGACAACACCTGCTCCCCGAGGAACACGCCTTCCCAGACGAGCCCTGCGAGAGCCCCCCACTCCAGCTTTGGATGCTGGACTAGACAAGCACACCTGGCTTTTCCTCCGTGGAAGCCTGTCCCCCTCTTTTCAATCCAGCGTTACAGATCTCTCTGTGTCACAGATTTTGAGGGAGCTACCTCTAGTCCTTCTAGAAAGAGGGCCCTAAAGAAGCCCAACTCACAAGTCAGGATCATCGGACCCAGAGCCTTCCTGGCCTGAGCTTCCGGGGCCCTTGCAGCCGCTCTGCTGGAAGTTGCTGGGTCCAGGGCTCTGGCGAAGCAGAGGCATTTCCTTCCCAAACAGACACTCTGATGAGAACACAACTCTCCAAGCATCAAGAGAACACCGGACCACGAGAATGGCTAGCGGCCTGGAAGTTTTCTAAGTCTCATTTATGCTGGAAGTTGGCACAGAAACAACTAAGGAGGCAAGACATGAGATTTCCTAGGGGTGGGTTTGTCCTTTGTTGTTGTTGCTGTTGTTTTTCATATCTCGGAGAAGAAAAAAAGGTCCCGGCACATGCTGGGCCAAACAAGAATCCATCTCTGGCCAATCTGAATTGTGCATGAAGGCCAGCTGTCTCAGAGGAAGCCCCGGGGCCCAAGGGGTCAGGTTGGGGTGGGGGGCAGCTACTGCCAAGGCTGCCCAGGGTCAGCACTGTTGGGTGGGGGGCAGCGGGGTGACACACTGGGGCTGGAGAGGCCTGAGCCCAGCGGCAGGGCCTGCACTGGACACTGCTGCTCAGGGCCCTGAAGGCTGGCCCTTCGCTCTGTGCCCCTTATCACCATGCCCTG